AAACATCATCCATTTCTTCTCAACTATTTTAACAAAGAAATTCAGCAATTTCTACTGATCCGTCAGCTGTTTTAGCAATTGATTTCAGACATTTTCAGGGTGAACCTTCAGCATCACAGCATCCACACGCATTTTTGACAGGAAATTCATTTCTCTAGTTACTATTAATAGCGACATTTTTCATATTTCTTTCACATGTTAATAAGAAGTTCTCAGGATGTTTTAATTGGCCTTTAGCTGTGTAGAGTAGCTGAGACTATGGTTACTCTCACTCACCACCTGCTGGACAAACTGGGGCATCAAAAACATTTTAAACAACACACTCCAAAGAAAATAAGAATTTAATATTGAACATCATGATATTACCAATTTATACAAGTCTTGAAGTATGAAGTCTGTATTATTTTTTTGCTTTCAGAAGTGGACCACTATATGTGATGTATTATGCAACATGCCCGGCATTTATTACATTTTACTGATAAATACTGTTTTAAGAGTAGCCCAGCTGATCATATGCATTGATGTACAGAGCTATAATTTACTGCACATTCAATATCCATGCCTGGTTACGTACAACTAAGCTAATGTTAGCTTGTTTACCACCTACAGCCAGGTCTTACCTCTCACCCTCATCTTTAAAAACTTCTTCCCTGTTTCATCCTCCTCTAAAGAATAATTTTATGTCTATCTACAGAAGTCAGTAATGATTGAGTCGGTATTATTCAAAAATTTAAGTTAGTCCATGTCACATTCCTCCGTCTATTCCTTTCTTTTGTTTTGTATGCCAATACATGGATTGCTGCATGTGAACTGCAGAAAATGCCAGCTAATCACAGTTGTTTCAGTCTGCGTTGCTGTGATGTGTAGTTACATTTCTGGAGAGGTGCACCTAAGGCTATGGTATAGGGTACAAGGCATTACCTACACATTACCTATGGTGTATATTTGATGCATAAGCATGAACTGGCCTTTATCCTAACCCTTAACCCTAACCACTACTTGCTTGACCCTCACCCCAACCTTAATTCTAAAATTTAATGATTTACATTTTTGTTTTTGTCCCCATAAGGACATTGAGTCCCCATAATGTGGTGGTGTAAACAGGTTTATGTCCTTACAACATGAGTAATACCAGACTACCCACTCATCCAGATGAGTGGATGTGGTGGAGTGACTCTGGTTGAGGGTGGCCTTGTGGCCTCTCATTAGCATGTAAATCAGGTAGTGTCTACGTATAGGTTGACTGCTCAATTTTCCCCTTAGATGTTAATAAAACAGTGGTTAACCAAGTCATAGTAACTAGTTCTAACTACACGTTTTTAATCCTGCCCCTTTATACTTTAAACATTTATTGATGAAAAACAAAATGATAATGTGACACTCTTCAGAGAGCTTCAGTTTAAATGTGCTACCAGCTAAATTGCTTTAATGGCCAAATGGTGTAACTGTCAGGGACGGCGCGCGTACTGCGAGAGTGTTAAAGGCCACAGGGACTTTTTACACTGACACACTACACACAGAGTGAACATGTTTATTGAATT